CGTAACTGCATATTTCATGGCTCTAACCATTTCGTTTCCTGGTCGAGCGTGTTGGCGGCATGCTGCGCTTTGTAATATCTACTGTAATTGGGATACATTCAATGCACAAGAAAAAGTATTCTTTTATTTTAAGCTCGCTGAACGATATTATACAATAAATACAATCAAAGTGACTTACGAGCGTGAAAAAACATTAACCCAGCTGATTGTTCATCGTCGCTGTCATTCTCAGTGCGTTGACAAGAATCAACGTCCAGTGAAAAATCCTCGACATCAAAGACGGTTTCTTTGAACATCATTGCTAACAGTAATCTGAGGAATTCTCTCCCCCAAACGACTTCGATAGCACCAACAACGGGTCATTCACCACGCACAGCACTCAAGCGACGTCACTCGCCATGCTTATCTAAGGGGTGCAGAGATCATTTCGCTCCAATACCCGGCAAAAAAGGAATCGCTGAGTGTGTGCTGTCATCTATCAATGAACGTAAAAAATGAGCGGTGCAGCATAGACCAAAGTTTGGAAGCGCAAATCGCGAGCCTACGCTACTTTCAGCGTACAATGAATTTTATAGGATTCATGCACTACAAAACCACTGTGAATGCTATATGCACGTAAAGCAAGGCAAGTTTTAAATGAAATGGTCAGACTTTAACATTTACCTATCCAAAGTAGCTGCAGAAAATCTCGCGAAGCTGATATGCGTACTCTGCGGGCTATAATCGAAAGCGCGAGTTGCCACGTATTTTTATGAAAACTTCGCGTATGGCAAGAATGAATCAGATTTATTGTGTCACGAACGATCCGGTATATTCATTGATGCACGAAACATACAAAGTGGTTTGTGTTGGTTTCTTGCTAACACGTTAACACTGGAGCTAGCACCGCCGAACAAGGCAGCATTGGGAGCGTCTGCCTGCTGATCATTCATGAGGGGACGCTAGTGAATTCCGCTAGGCGGCGCGGCAGTCTATGAATACTGCGAATTATAAGTACGCTTTGCTGATGCTGTCGCTGATGGCGAAGAATTATGGCTGAGCCTTTTGTAATGGTTTGAAAGCACTCAATGACCTACTCAACATGAAATTCAAACTGTGTGAGGCCAAGTTGTTATTTCACTTTTCTAAAATGCTCTAATACATATGTTAACACGATTCCTTCCTTGACATGAAGCCTTCATGGGGTGTTCCCAAAGCTTTTCCAAGTGCCAAAATGGCCATGTGATATAATACTGGGCTGCCACACAGAGGACTAGAGTTCAAATCCCATTCTTCCACAGATTTTTTATTTGCCATATACACACGTGCAAGAGCCGCACTTTTTTTCTGAAATTTTGATGACATCTGGCCCTTCCACAGAAGTGCAAATTGTTTCCTCAATTTTAAATCCATGCATGAAAAAAACCTATGAAATGCAAAGTATTTTTTAGTGAACTTCAGCGGCTTTGGCCGTATATGTACTATATCTATCTAGCCAACATAGATTTATAGCCCTCCTGGCCGTTTCGACAATGGGATATATACTAAAATTGGTTTACATGACATGACGAGCACACGTGACTAGTCATAACATGTAAATCATGGTCTGTATGTCTTGAATACCATAATTTACATGTCACGGTCTTGCTGCTCTTGCTGTGGTTTTGTTCACATGACATATTGCAAAACTGGTATGGTATGACTGCATAGCAAACATAAGTGACAGGCCGTAACATGAAAGTCATGACATACAGGTCATGTAAGTCATGACTACACGCCACGTCATGGTGCACTCGTGGTCATTTCGCTAGCTTCACATATATCAAATTTGGTATTATATGATGCCAATGCACGACCAAGGTAAATGATGCGTCTAAACATGATAATCATGACATGCCTGTCATGTAAAACATGACTACATGCTACGATCATAGTGCGCTCGTGGCCCTTTCACTAGCTTCACATATAGCAAATTTGGTGTTACGTGACGTCAACGGATAATGAAGGTGAGCGACACATCCAAACATGATAACCATGATATGTTTATCATGTAAAACATGACTACATGCTACGCTCATAGTGCAGTGACCCCACCTTTCTTTCAACATCATAGACCCGCATCTCTTCATCTGTTATGCAAAGCTTTGCCAAGTGTATGGTATAATTTCACACGTACACATGTTGTTAATGCTTTGTCATTGCCACTTCAGTACTGATCCAATGAGCCAAATGCGCACTTGCTCACTTCTGTGGCTGTATCTTGCCAATTAACAGTCAGAGCAAAATGTGGCAAATTGCAGTAGTCCAAGCCTGTCATTAAGTGTGCTCATTGGCTAGAGTATGCTCCCTCTACCAGTTGGCCAGCAACTTCAAAAGTTCAGTTTCTTTGTGAACACCCCTTGTATAGCATGCAGTAAATCGCCTTGAGACATGCTGTCAATCAGCCATGGCAAAAAAAAAGGAACCCTATCATTTTTTTTTACATTCTTTCAAGCACTTAAATTCCTACATTTTGCAACTAAGCAACAAATATCCACCACTCCAGTAACACTGAACTTTTGCTGCTGTGCTTATTAACTGCATATTGAATCTTGTAACTAATGATTGCTTACAGCAACCACAAAGCAGTATAATAAAACAATTTCATTTAGCAAATTAAACACATTTAAAGCATACCTGACTGAGACCACGAAACTACACCTATGAACAAGCATAAACATTTCGAAACTTCTCTATACTAAAAGACATTCTTGTAAAGAGAGTTGTGATATTCATAGCATTAAGAAAGCAAGACATTTCAGGACAACAAGCATCACCTTCCAGCCCTGCATTGAGATAATTGGTACAGAAGCTGTGCAGGGTTTTACAGCAATTCTTTTCAAGGTAGTGAAGGAAGCTTTTTGAAGTGACAATTCTAGCAACCATGGGTGCCGAAAATTAGGTATGTTGTGCAGTGAACCAACCCTTGAAACTATTTTGTAATAACAAGCCAATGGCAGACAATGGGCAAGAGTGCTTCTGGCAGTTACTCTTAGCGAATTTAACTCTTACAATAATTTCTCCTCAAATATTATAACTGCATTCACATGGGGCTATATGTTTTCTTAAGTAGGCAGAAAGCACAACCTGGGAACAAATATTAAAGTGTGCATGATATAGACTCCTTCAGCCCTCATAAAATATTTAAAAAAAACTGAAAATGTAGGACAAAATGACTGATTCTGTATGGCCGCCAAACTACTAACAGTGAATGTCTGTGCTGCTCAGACAAGGTTCAGGGGAAGGTGAAAAAAAGAAAAATTCCTGAACAGGGAGTGTCACTAAAGCCAACATTTTGATGAGTTGACTTATCTTCATCGAGACAGAGTATAGTGTTACTTTTTTCGTTTTATGCTAAAGTACTTGTACTTACAGACCTAAGTATATAATGAATTAACAAAAGCTACTTAATATAAGTTTAAGTAAATCAAAGTATAGAATATCTATATAAAGTTATATTTACACACTATGCAGTTCCTTAAACACAATTTTAACATTGTGTTAAACATGATGCAATTGGATAATATTCTGAATGATGCTCACAGTGCAGATTCATCAGCCAATGCAATACTGCAGCAAGTGGAAGAAATTTGAAAGACCTTTCCAGTTTATAAAATCTAAGTAGGTGCTACGTAATGAAAAATATTTGAGATGCAGAAAGTGCAAAACAATACAAATGACAAACAGGCACACATAGTGCCATGCTCTGTGTGCCTGTTTGGTCTTCCCACACGTTTCACATTTTGGGGACGTTTCATTAAAAAAATGTTTCTTGTTGGGATGTCATTCATTTTGACCAAAAAGAATGAGCAGGTAAAAAAAATTTCAACACCTTCTTATTATAACTATACCCAAATATGCAGATAATTAATCCAGATTACCAGTTAAATCTGATCGATATAGAAACACATAAATAACAAATACAAAAGTTCACATAAATGTGGTGGCTTTGTGATTACAGATGGACTTCAGAGGGCCAACTGCTTGTTTCAACGAACCGGAAGCAGAACAACATAGCCACGGTCTATCCTCATATATCTCATGATGCCCACCTTGTGATACCCATAAAGACAACCACCACCACAAGCTACCAAAAGTTCCAGGCAAATCTAGCCACAGGTAACATTACACTGCAACACAGTAAAACTGCGCCGAGTGCAGCTCCCTGTGTGAAGCAAACCCAGTGACTGCCAGTGAGTGTGTGCACTTTAAATACTCCACCTGTTGCACACTGATGATCATTTAAAAGATGTTCACTGTTAACGATTCAAGTAGCAATTTTAGGCTATTGTTGCTGGATAAAGCTTCAGTGACAACTATGGCTTGGCTTCAGAGAGCATCAAATACATATAGTGCGGGCAGAAAATGAATTTCGATCAGTGTATGTTGTCACAGCAATAAATACTGCCTTAACCAAGTAACTGGCTATGCTTACAAAACAATATTTTAAGATACTGCAACAAAGCTTGGTTTCCAACTAAATTAAATTGTTTACACATTAGTGAGTCATGCATGGCCTACAATAATTGAGGAATCAAGTAGACAACCTTTCACTTCATTGTTTCATGAATTCTATGTAAAAAATAATTAAAATAGATCAAAAAAATAAGACACTGAAAAAGCAACGCATCAGAAATGACCACTGAACTGCAGGCAGACATTGTGTAAACAATTCGCACTGGCAGTCTGTGTCCATACACAAACACTGCAATTAGTAATCTTCCCACATACAGATTACAGTACATTTACATACAGCCTTTAATAGTACTGCATTAAAACACACATCCCCAAAGGTAAATAAACTAACGAAGTGAATATGACATAATTCACAGAGCTTCTTTTTCGTGTACTTTCTTACAAATAAGCAAGGGTGACTGTAAATAGAGCTTTAATGACTAGCAATTGGCGCAAGGAAAATAAATGCAACACTTCGTACAGAAAATGCACCACCTCTTAAAATGAAACAAGTGAATGCTTCTTGCCTGTATGCTGCCACCATGGGAGCAAACATGGAGTCGCCGTCATACACATATAGATGGTCCCAGCCACACTCAGTCTCAAAATGCGTAAACTCAAACCTAATAGTGGCATTACGAATGCCGCTTTCAATAAGCCATGTACACTTCATATCCTTGCTGTAGTTTCCTATCCCATTGGTTATTACACCATTTGGCTCTGTCAATCTGAAAGAGAAAGGAAGAATGGTATTATTGTTATGAAGTTCCTACATTCAAGACATCACTGGAGAGCACGAATGAGGCAAATTTATGGCTCCTGCAACAGCAGGACATGGTGAGCGCACTGTTCAACACTGTTCTTCTGTTACAGGAATCTGCACTTCTGCCTACTACAAAATGAAGCCCCCCCCCCCCCCCCCCCCCCCTACCCCCACCAACTGTCACACATAACAATTTCAGTGTTTCTGTTGCAAGTCTCCCACAATTGGTGCATCTGCTTCACACAAGGCAAACACCGCTTCATAAATATTGCCCAAAATATATTCCATTGAATAACAACATAGAGACAAAAAAAAGCCCCGGAAAGTAAAATTCTTGAGCATCCGTCCAGAAGACAATCTGTAATTCTGATTTATTGATATGTGGGGTTTAACGTCCTATATCGATCAATCAGAATCTGTAATTCTAACATCACATGTTCCTTTTCAATGTAACTATTAATCCTCATTTATTCAAAACAGACAGACTGTTTATTATGATATGCTGCACTTGATAGCAACGATACTAAAGCAGGAGTAACACTGACTTACAGACGCCACATGCTTCATTAAGGTGCTTCAAAACAAAGTTATGTTCTGCCACACTAACAGCTACTTCAACATCACCTGACGTCAAGTTTTCTTTCAGTGCATGCCAACATACAAAGCGTTTTTTTTTTTTTTTATTTCGTGCTGTCTTCGTATCTAAACAGGTTCCAATAATTCGCACAAATTCTTACACCACCGAATAGATACAATGACTGCCTCAAAAAACAAAAGAACAGAGCTCTGTTTATCGAATGTGAAGAGCAAACTTATGTGCGTTCCTGCTATAAACTTGATCAAGCTTTAAAAAAAAATTCATACCAGCATTTCATATCTGGTCACTGCTTCCTCTTTCTCGAAAAGGTTTGTGTAGTTTTATATTTGTACCCTGCTACCCTCCAACATCGTCATACTTGAGTCACATGTACAAAAACAATGCATTTGGTCATTAACATCCAAATTTTCTTCATAATTTTCTACTTTTCACAGAGCTACCCCATATCTAAATACTTAATAGCATTTTACCCCATAATGTATATACAGCCTTACTGGAAGTGAGATATTTTAGGACAATAAAAACATGCATGCATTCGCAAGTTTCTTTGTCTTAAGGAGTTGCAAAATGTTAAAAAGTAAGGATGTTAGTTTGAGTTTACTGCTTTTCATTAAAATTTTGCAACTAACCATATCAACTTTGGTCATTGCATGCCAAATCTGTAGAAAATAAGAGACAGCACCTCGAATGTCAAAGCCATTGCAATGCCAACCTAAAGATGTACACCAAGCACATCTGTATTGAACGAATGAATGTTACAGTTGAGAGTTGTGCATAAATTATTTTTCACAAGATACACACTACTTTAATGAGTCCATTATATTGCACTGCACAAGTGAAGGTGTTCAAGAGTCTGCACTTTTGCAGTCAAAATAAGCTTTGGACAAAGCATTACACAGTAAATGTTTGAGGCAGATGGCATCAAGTTTATCTGTGTGGCATCCCAAGAATGACATGAATAATGAGATTGAGGCACCAAAATTAGTTACCTTCTGTGAGCAGTGACAAGGGAACAAGATAGCTTTCTAGTGAACCCTTCTACTACCCATCATCAAGGTGATCCTACAGAACCTGCCGAGCTTTAATGGATATCACTGGTTGTTTTTGCCAAGGTGTAAAAAGGAAGTAACGAATTTAGGCATATTAATTCTTACACTTCTACTTGCTTAACATAGTCATAGAGTTTCCTAATATACACTAGAGGGAACTCTGGTGCTAGTGTCTATGGGAGCTGCAACCCACGGCGCTTCAGCGAGCATGGGAATGATGGGTAGTAGACACATTTGTTGTGGTGTGGCTTGGAGCTGTTTTCTTACTAAACAAATATTAGCAAACGTTCAGCGGTTCCGCTTCACCATATTATTCTTTTAGACTTACCTTTTCAAATCGTGTCACAAAGCTCAAAAGGGTTGAACCTTTATTCCAAAACAAAACTGAAACAGCCACAGACGAAGCCGCCAGCACGATTCGCCACCCGCAAGTACGAAGACTAGGCAAATGTGTGTACTACCCATCATTCCCATGGTCGCTGAACGATCGCAGAGCCAGAGTACCCTCTAATTAATTTTAGAAAACTCTATACGCATAGTCTCCACTCTCCCATGGCACACTATATTGTTTGCAAAATAATCTGCCACAGTGCAAACACACATTTTGTCTTTTCCGTGCCATAACTGTTGTTACTTCTATTATCCGATATATATGCCTCTGAAAATCAAAATGAGAATCCCAGGCACTCGAAACAACTAATTCCAGGGAGCATTCCTGCTCTTTGGCTTCATTGGAACATGCACAACAACTTATTTTCACAGTCTATATAATATTTTTCATAGTTTAGTCTAAGGTAAATAAATTGTATCATGTTACATCTTGTTATCTTGCATTGTATTAGCAATATGAATGTATGTGTGTTTATGTAAATGAATGCATATGTGTTTCTTTTTAAGTTTGTAAGTGTCAATGTATATAGTGGTCAGCGCACGGTGTACTTTTGCTTTTTCTAAACCCTTTTTCTTGAACATTGTGTTGTAAAATAATCAGTTGACAAACCGTTTTTGAATTAGTATGAGTTATTCATGTTTTATATTTTACTTGCATGTTATGTACTTGTAATCACTTTTGCACTACTGCCGTGTGTGTGTAATGGTCATTACGGCCTTTGTCAAGCCGTTATCAGGGCTTTTAGCCTTGGCGACCTTCCTGTTTTGTCTGGTAAATAAAAAGAATTGAATAATTCAAGGAGGAAGACGACTAAATACATGAGAATTACTTAGAAATCGAATGTGGGCATGATGTAAACGAAGTGACTGCACTACTTGACATGAAGAATATGTACATCAAACTTCATCAAACTGACTCAACAAACCTAAAATATCAGCACATCTAGATTGATTAATTCAATAAAGACATCCTGAATATGAATCAATAAATTGCACACTGCTTCTTGCTTCATGATTATGTTGTGCACATGACCAGAACTGGCAAAGCAGTGGTAATAAGCATAAAATGATGTTCACAGCACGTAAGCACAACACGAACACACTAGCACCACACTGGCATAGCATTTGCTCACTGAATTGGAGTAGACATCCCTTTCAACAATGAATGCACATTGCTTCTAGAGATGCTTCTGCCACAGCACAGTTGCAAAGCAACTATACCTGCAACGTTCTGCATCGTTTACTATTCATGAAAGGTAAAACAATCAAATATGCATCATATCATGATTACAGAGGTTTATAATACATTGCTGAAATTCATTTTGCAAGTTAAAGGAACTGCTTTCTTATGCAAATGTTATTTCTCAGCAAGAAGATTAGGAAAGACCCAAGTGGTCACATACAGTTTTGAGAATTAAATGTGGTGCCTATTTTTCCCAAATTCAGAAATTATCCAAGGTCAAAAGTGCAAATGTTCTAAAGCTTTCTTCCAAAAAAATAAATGACGTTTTATTTTTTGCATAAAAGAACAATTTATAAAGTTGCATCATGTATAACCACAAAAAATCACACATGTTATCCTAAAATACGGGAATAACAACGAATAGAATAGGTATAAAAGCATTACAGAACTATAACAGATACCACATAGCTTAAAAATACATTGGACCATTTAGCGAACGAGTGGAGCTACATCTGGTTTATATTCCTGCGGTTGATAATGATGCCTTCATCTCTTTTAGCCTAGAAATGAAACAAAACCCGCTTAAAGTAATTTTAAATGGCAAACACATATTAAGCGAAGCATTGAACGTGTACAGCCTACTGATATGATTAGAAAATGAAAACAGCGCCTCGTGTATCGGGTCGCCCCGATCGCTTCAGGCCTACGACAACAGAAGCAAGAACCGCATCCGGCCCAGCTACAGCCGATAAACGTACTTTTTCTACAGCTTTACTGCTCCAAAGGTCAAGCTTTCATGCAACACTTAGCATTAAGAAGTTAGCTCTTCGCACGGCGGACGATCACACGCGCTGATCCATTAGCATCACTCGCAACATCCTACCGCCACCTGTTACTCGGCTCCACTGCAGCATCGGGGCTGCCTGCTCACGCAAAGCTCCGATCTGCACGTGAGCCACTCAGTGCAGATCGCAGATTTGGGAGTACAACCAGTACGCCACGGCCGAAACTGTGCACTGCCAGAACACCCATCAAACGTGATTGAATGTACTAGGTTGAGCTCTAGCTGCATCCCTGGAGATCTACACCCCGCTTTCGCCTAACAATGCATTTCTTAATTAACACTTACTTCCCCCGAAACTTACACAGATTATGACAACGCCACGCGAGCAGGCATGAAAAGAAATGCTTGGGATACGGCGAGAATACAGAAAAGAGGGCATCGACCACCGCGAAGGCATGGCGCACGGACGACGCTTCGCCCAGCTACCGACGGCTTCCTTCGCCGTCTGACAGCGGCATTGTGCGGATGAGCGAGTATAAATGCCATTTTACCTCACTCGACCACCACACCGTTGACAGCCAGGGCCCTGCCAGCCAGGGTAACATAAACAACGTCCGTCCCCCGCCGTGCAGTTCCCGTGCCAGCACTCGGTATCACCGCATAACGTCCTTTGGGCGTCGGAAAGCTGCCATGCGCACAGTAAGAGCACGAAGAGTATCATTAGCCAGCATCGTGGATCGAAAAGATGTAGCCGTTTTCTTCTAGACTTCTTTCTAACCATACAAAAGCAGATAACAAATTCCATCATCGGAGTGCCATGTCCTCGGATATTTGGGCGGACGTAAGAAAGCACCGCCAGGGTCGCCGCTGTCATCTGCATCAGCAGGCGTAGTTTTGGGCACTCAAAAATTTTTATTTCAATATTGGCAGTGCAAATTTTCAACAACAAGTAAATAAAAGTTATACAGAATTAAATGTATGCGTTGACGGCTGCTTGATACAAATAAATAAAAGTTTCGAGGTGGCGCCATTTTTAAAAAGTGCAACGGCAAAGGTTTGTTTTGGTATCCACATTATCATTAAAACACGTCCATTCTTTCAATCTCATATTCTTATGTGGCTTTATAATGCTTATATTAACAGCCATTTTTCATACTGCCTATCATCATGGCGTAACACATAAGCCATTATTTTCTCTAACCGCTTCAGCGCCTTCATAACCAGGCGATAAAATTAATGACTTATAGCCCATTGCGTTCCCATTCTAATTATATACCCATCTATCAACAGCTGCACATTCAACCGATTAAAGAGTTGTTTTATCACAGATTTTCCCTCATCACATACCGTCTTATTTATCGTGAAATATCATTAGATAGTATTCCTCACCATGCCATTGTCAACAACAATGATACCAGGTTTTCAAAGCAAAATAACTTTCTTTTACCCAAAATAAGATTGAACTATGGCAGATTTACAGCTACATTTTATGGTATTCATCTTTGTAATCGCATACCTCCTCATACTAAATCATCTCGGTCACTGCAATCTTTTAAGCATAACATGAAAAACATAAATTGTTAAAGGAACCTTTTGTTCATCTGTAACAAATTTATTCTCATCATCACTTCACAACCTTGTATCAGTAATTTTATGCTTTATATAATGCTGCTATGGTAAATATATTTTTTCTTTTTTAGTATAGATTGATCTGTTTTGATTGCGTTTCCTATTTGTTCGCTCTTTTTGCTGCTGATAACTTTTTATGTACGCCACTAATTATGGGAGGTCCGCCTGACAGTCTCGTACTTTGGGACCTCCTGATTTTGTATGTATTATGTAGCCCGTTTTTTGTACATGCAATAATAATAAACAACCTTGCACTTGAACTTGAGCTGATGGTTTGTCTTGGTAGTCGGGGCCAGTTGGAAGTTATCTTCCATTATGGGCAGCTCGGTTGGCCGCTACTTCTCCTCCTCCTCATTAATGAGGGCACACCTTTAAGTACATAGGTTTAAGTACAGCTTTAAGTACATAGGTAGATTGTCTGATTTCAGTGTTCTTCTCCACATCCTGCATAGATTCTAATCGCTGGTTGCTAAGTTAGAACTCTTAATGTTCCTTCGCCGGAGAGCAATTGTAGCCCTGTATGTCTACGTCCTCAATAATTTTTTAGCAAATGCCAGTATATTTATTAATTAATTCGTCAGTACTAGAAGAGAATCACGAAAAGCTTGCGAAAAGACAGAAAATGCTTCACACATCGGAAGACAGCGGGATGAGTAAGTTGGCATTTTATATAAGCGCTAATGTGAACCTTGCGGGCCACGTAAGGGTGTAGGACAGACAACCGTTGGTCACTTAATGTGGAATGAAAGTGATATGCTATATCAAACGCCGAAGAATGCCCCCTTCATGCGTAACTCATGTGCCTACATCAGAGGATGGACATAAATTCTTTTCCGGGGGGGGGGGGGGGGGCACCTTTTTGATCAGAATTAAGGGGGGGGGGGGACAAAGCAGGCAGATGCGGTGAAGTGTGATTTTGCGCCTTGTATGCCATAATTTTGAGGGGAAGGGCCCGGGCTCGATGTGTCAACTCCTGGCTACACCGCTGTGGTACATTGATACGTGGAGAGAAATCGCTCCGCATAAATACAAGAAACAAATCTTAAGGGCCCTTTTGCAGCTGCCAGCGCGGATTGCAGAAGCCAAAAGCACGCTGTGGCCGCTGTGTATTGGTCATCCTAAGGAAATATCAACATTCCTAAAGTTTCCTGCAATACCAGAAAGATTCCCGTTATTCCTTTCGTCCGAAATTGCGACTGCGAATTTCTCGAGAGAAAAAAAAAAAAGTCTCTGCACGGAACATCACTAGAGGTGTGTAGTGAGAAATTTCGTTTCGTATGTTGGTTTTTTTGTAACGGCGTTTTTCCATTAGTTAGCCGGCTTAGCTGACTATATGTCCCACATCATGATGGGCTGAAATATTCTCAATCAAAAATTTTCATCAATTATCATATAACGTTTTCGTGAATGCGGGCTTTGGTTCTAGGATCGGGCGTGAAGGAGGATGCGCTGCAACCGCAAGGACTTTATGCAACAGCAGATACACTCTTCGTACCTCGTGAGTGATCACGGGCGCAGCCAGTCAGACAGGATCAGGGGCGGCAAGGGTCAAGTTTTCCCCCAAAACTTTCAGTTCCCAAACACACGCACGAGCATAAATAAAGTATGGTTTGGACCCCTTCCCCACCCCCTGAAGAACATTTCTGGCTAGCTACAGCTCTCACGTCATCTATAATGTGTTTCAGCTAAAAGAACCAATAAAAAATATACATCAGCGCTACGCATGTTCAACTAGCTCAGTATTGTTCTGAGATATATAGAGTACGTCAGAATATTCTTTTTTCGATCCACCAAGCTGAACAATTAGCGAAAATTGTTTAATAAACTTTTTAAATAGTGACTCTAGAGAAAAATATTCAATACAAAACCACTAGCGCTTAACAAGAGGTGATAAAACTTTCAATCTGCGGCAAGATAACTGCTGTGTTGAGGGCTGGCTGGTCCCGACGAAGCAGAAGAAGACGGCCGCCGGAGACGTACGCGGCCGGCGGGGACGCCGACCAGCCCAAACACGCGGGTTGGCGCGAAGCGCCGAAGGAAAGAACAACAACCGCACTCCACGGTTACCCAACACACACTGATTTTATTTACAGTCTCCTTGAAATCCTGGATGCCAGAGCGGCGCCCCCTGGCATCCTCACATGTCATTCCGAAACCGAAAGCGAAAACCTAGAACACAACAATAACTTCGCTGCCTAATTTTTTTCCAGCCTTTGTTTAAAGTGCGCGAAATTCTCAAAAATACCACGTGAGTGCAGCCAAGCGCGACGTTTTTAGTACCCTCAAATGTCAGGTCAAATAGTTTTCAAAGACTGCTCACATACGAATGTCGCTTGAGCAGGCTATCTGTCACTTGGACGTCAGGCGATGGTAGGATGGTATCGTAAAAAAAAAAACCAGAAAATGAAGAAGAAAAAGATACTTCGACTTAAAAGCCACCACTCCGTGCCACTTTTAAATGCGAAGCATTTCTTAGTGAACTTCAGTGAGTCTGAGCGTATCTATCTATCTATCTATCTATCTATCTATCTATCTATCTATCTATCTATCTATCTATCTACATACGACTTTTATCTCTTCTGGCCGTTTGGATAATGTGATCTGTACCAATATAGGTATGGCATCATGGCATGTATGTCATGAATGTGATGATTTCATCGCATAACATCCATATTTTCACTTCGCGCAGTAAGAAATATTACGGTCAGAAATTAATCAACTCATCCGATTTTTGTAATTAACTGTTAATAGCTCTTCACAGTTCTGTGCTATTTTACTACTTCAATTCGCCTTTGTATAATTGATAACACTGATAATGAAACGTGTTGCATTTGTCACATAGAGTTCATTAATATTGTTTTTTGTCTTCACTTGCTTTTGACTATTTCCTTGTTATTTTTCAATAGTGAGTATTACCATTATGTTGTGTATTGATTGTATTTTTATCGTTAATCAAGATTATTTATTATTGCTCACAAGTCCGTATACTATTGCTGTATTTTTTGTAATTACCATATCCATGTAGCCATAGGAGGTCCGCCTGTCAGTTTCTCTGAAACTTTGGGACCTCCTGCTGTAATAACGCTAACCATGTAACTCAACTGAACTATTTAATAAACTTGACTTGACTTGACTTGACTTGAATTTACATGTCATGATCTTGCTGCTCCTGCGGTGGTTTCGTTCACATGACATATCGCAAAACTGGTATGGTATGACGTTACTGCATGGCGAACATAAATGACAGGCCCTCACGTGGAAATCGTGACATGCGTGTAATATAAGAACATGACTACATGCCACGCTAATGATGCGCTCGCGGTCATTTCCCTATAGCTTCACAAACACCAAATTTGGTATAACGGGACATGAATGGATGATGGTATATTACTGGTGGATACATGATGATCACGACATAAGTGTCATGTAAGGACATGACTACATGCCACGCTCATGATGCGCTTCCAGTCGTTTCGCTAGCTTCATATCATCATCATCATCATCATCATCATCATCATCATCATCATCATCAGCCTTACTACGTCCACTGCAGGACAAAGGCCTCTCCCATGTTCCGCCAGTTAACCCGGTCCTGTGCTTGCTGCTGCCAATTTATACCCGCAAACTTCTTAATCTCATCTGCCCACCTCACCTTCTGTCTCCCCCTAACCCGCTTCCCTTCTTTGGGAATCCAGTTAGTTACCCTTAATGACCAGCGGTTATCCTGTCTACGCGCTACATGCCCGGCCCATGTCCATTTCCTCTTCTTTATTTCAACTATGATATCCTTAACCCCCGTTTGTCCCCTAATCCACTCTGCTCTCTTCTTGTCTCTTAAGGTTACACATACCATTTTTCTTTCCATTGCTCGCTGCGTCATCCTCAATTTAAGCTGAACCCTCTTTGTAAGTCTCCAGGTTTCTGCTCCGTAGCTAAGTACCGGCAAGATACAGCTGTTATATACCTTCCTCTTGAGGGATAGTGGTAATCTACCTGTCATAATTTGAGAGTGCTTGCCGAATGTGCTCCACCCCATTCCTATTCTTCTAGTTACTTCAATCTCGTGGTTAGGCTCAGCGGTTATTACCTGCCCTAAGTAGACATAGTCTTTTACAACTTCAAGTGCACTATTACCTATCTCGAAGCGCTGCTCCTTTCCGAGGTTGTTGTACATTACTTTCGTTTTCTGCAGATTAATTTT